AACACAAAGACCTGGTCAAAATAAACAGGGCTTTTCAATGCATGGGGTCACATCGGAAAAAAAAAATGCAAAGGTATACACGTTCTTCTTTTTTTGTAAAATATTATATATACAGCTTTTTTTTTTTTTAATACAGCTTTTTAAAATAAGAAAATTCAATGTCTGTTGACACTATTTAGGTATTCTTTCATTATCTTACTATCACCAAAGGGTAGACTATAGCCTTTTTTGCCTAAAGTTTCTGGAAAAAAAAAAATTAGCTTCCATTAAAGGGTCTAACTTCTCACTTTTAAAATCTGATTGCTGGGGCGCCTGGGTGGCTCAGTCGGTTAAGCGTCTGCCTTTGGCTCAGGTCATGATCCCAGGGTCCTGGGATCGAGCCCTGCATCGGGCTCCCTGCCCAGCAGGAAAGCCTGCTTCTCCCTCTCCCACTCTCCCTGCTTGTGTTCCCTCTCTCGCTGTGTCTCTCTGTCAAATAAATAAACAAAAAAAGAATTTAAAATAAAATCAAATCTGATTGCTGACAAAAATATTTTGTGAGGCTGGTTTATTTTTATTTTGCCTTTCCTTGATCCTGTAACACTTAACTACAAAATGCTGTTGTCTCACAGAGTTAATAATCTATTCTTAAAATAAGGGTTTTTTCCCCCATTTTAAAGTTGAGTCGGGGTCAGCTTGCAAGCTAAGAATGGTTTTCACATTTTAAAGGACTATTTTTTTAAAAAAAGAACATGCAGGGCGCCTAGGTGGCTCAGTTGTTGAGTGTCTGCCTTCAGCTCAGGTCGTGATCCCAGGGTCCTGGGATCGAGTCCCGCATCGGGCTCCCTGCTCTGCGGGGAGCCTGCTTCTCCCTCTCCCTCTGCCACTCCCCCTGCTTGTGTTCCCTCTCTCGCTGTGTCTCTCTCTGTCAAATAAATAAATAAAATCTTTAAAAAAAAAAAAAAATGCATGCAACAGAGACTGTATTGTGGCCTACAAAGCCTATGATCTGACCTCTTACTGAAATCATCTGCCACCTCCTGAACTAGACCAACAGTTGCATGTTCAACACAAAGAAATATTCCTTGCTCTATGTATTTTGAAAAACAGCCTCTAAGACTGAGCCAGGCAATACATTATTCTACCTCCACTTCATGACAGATCTGGCCAGGAGAACACCCTAAGGCTGACCTCTGTTTAGTGTTTACTCTAGGCTTCAATTTCACCATCTTTAGGATTTACAGAGCTTCTAAATTTAAATGTAGAATCCCACGTTACAATTAGACAGGATTCCTATAGTTCCTGGGCTGTTCACTTGCCCAATGCCCGGCATTAAGTCACACTTTGGAAACCATCTTCCTGAAATATCACCAATCGTAGGTACTACAGGGTGAGTGTGGGGGGAAGGACTGTACAAATCTTGAGAGAAGTGGGTGGTATCAAAGAGCACTATCCCAACGGGAGGGGGCAAGACCCAGATACATCGTGTGGCAGGGGAGGGGGTGTAGCTGAAGCACAGACACTAAGGTGCTTGGGCCCCCACTGTCGCAATTAATCCAGGAATTTCGTAACAGACAGAAACACAATCTGAGATTTCAGGCTCCACAGTACAGTGCTGGGAAACGTGTTTCCTTCAGTATCTATTCCAATACATTCCATATATATATGTACTGAAAAAAGAACGGTCTCACAACATGCTTCCTTTCCCGGACAGTGAAGTAAGTTTGGATTCTTTGGCACTTGGCCCAGTTCAGTGGGCAGACCCAGCTATGTGCAAAGAAGCCCTGCCGTATGCTCCCGCCAGCCGAGGTGGTATCCATGGGTGCTGACTGCCCTGCCACTGTCAAGTGCAGGGCTGGGCTGCCTGCCAGAGGAGAACAATGGTCAGGATATTTTCTTTTTTAAAGTTAATTTCTGGGTGTCAGGAATCCTTGGCGGAAGTTTCAGCTATCAAAAACTGTCCTCCAAATTTAAATGACTGTACATCTCCACCCAAATCTGGGACTGACCCATGATGCCAAGATGCCTAGGGAAACAAGATGAGTCACTGCCTAAGGAAATGGCAGAGGACGTGGGGCTGGTTAAATGTTGTATATAAATGTGAGAGCTGGAAAGCAGGGAGACATCTGTGTTCAGGGGCTGAAATAAAAGCTGGGGCCTACATCCACATCAAGTAAATATTTCCACCCCTCAGAGTCCCTGAAATGCAGTGCATGGTTGCTCTGACCAGCTTTCCTCTCCAGAAAGGCCTTGGTCTATGACAAATCTATTTATCTGAACTTTTCATTATAACTTTACCTCTACGAGCTCATACTGACCGCAGTTACCAAAGTACAATCAAGATCATTTTCCCTCTGCTTAGATCCTTACCTTACCTCCTCATACACTCCCGGGTGTCCACAGAGCAGGCTGACCACTGAGGCCCTCTATCTATTAATCTCATCCTCTATACAGTAGTTTCACATATTTTACAAAAGAGCCCTCAGTGAAAGTTTATATTTGACTGAATGTACAGATATTTTGAGAAGGGTCAAAGGAGCAAACATGAACTGTAAACTACAGGATATGGAAATATGATATGTCTGAGAACATTCTTTACAATTAAAAACAGTTGGGGGGCGCCTGGGTGGCTCAGTCAGTTAAGCGTCTGCCTTGGACTCGGGTCATGGTCCCAGGGTCCTGGGATTGAGCCCTGCGTTGGACTCCCCACTCAGCGGGGAGCCTGCTTCTCCCTCTCCCGCTGCCACTCCCCCTGCTTGTGTTCTCTGTCAAATCAATAAATAAAATCTTTAGAAAAAAAAAAAGTTGGTAAAAGTCACGTGTCATCACCTAAACTTTAAAATAACTGGACTAGGGTTCAGATCAAGGGGTCTATCAGCAAAGCAAGGGAACCTGATGAGCAAGAGACCACTAGAGAGCTGACAGACCGCAACAGCCTTCCAAGGCCCCTATTTCCCCAACTTTATAAAAGGGTGGCAACCATCCCTCTTCTCCTACGTCATGAGGATTATCAAGAGTCAACAATTAAAGTAGTCTAAATGCAAATCATCAATATCAACCTCAGGGTTCTTGAGTCTCTCTCCTTAAGGACTTAAAGACACTGACACACAGGTGAGGGACGACAAAGCACAGAAGCCGCAATGGCGAGGTCTGGCTGGGGGCAGATAAAACACAGTGCAAACACTGAAAAGCCGTCAACGCGGTCACAGACTTCTACTTTGGGAAGATTCCTCAGGATACTAACGGCTCTAGCCTTCATCTCCCCCAGTCCCCATGCCCCATTTATTTTATTTTTTATTTTTTAAATTTTTAAAATTTTATTATTAACATACAATGTATGATTTGTTTCAGGGGTACAGGTCTGTGACTCGTCAGTCTTACACAATTCACAGCGCTCACCACAACACATACGCTCCCCCCATGCCCTATTTGAAAAGAAAAATATATGGTGGCTCCCTTTAGAAAGAATGCTAACTTTTCCTAATAAGATAAATGAACAGAGGATATTGGAATAGTATTTCTTGTTCCTCCCTTCAAATAAATCACATTCCCCATGGCACATTTTCAGAAACATTTGGGTGTGTATTTTAAAAAGGAAGCCAAGCCCCAAATTCTGCTAAATTGGTACCGTTGCTTCCTCGCAAAATTAAATTAACCTAAGACAAAAGACTTATATTTCCAAAAACGGTGAAGAAGCCAAAAATTAGCTCAATTATAATGGTTTTGAAATTGTGGGTTTGAATTTTGCATAGCACACGCATCTGTAATTTTTACATTCTTCTGACTTCTCAAACTTGGGTTTTTCAAGTGAAAGCAGGATTCTGGTAAGAATTGATATTAAAATGTCTCCAAATGAGACCAAATTAACTCCCAGCAGTCTACTCTTAATATTACATATCCTGGACTTATAATGTAAGCATTAAATACTCAAGAGCACTTACTGTGACCAAGGAAAGGGGGGGGAAAAAAAGAGCAAACGGCAAATTCACACACAACACAACCATATAAAAATCCACTCACAAAATTAAGATTAAAATTGTAGCTGATCATTTAGGGTAGAGAGCTCTTCTCGCTCTCTTCTTTTCCAACAAATTTTGTTAATTTTATAGAGAAAGAGAGACACGCAGAGATAGGAGAGTGAGAACATTATAAAAAGTAAGTCCACTGAGCTGACCTTTAAAGACTCCTGGGTATGCCCTAAAGCCTGGTCTTCCTTAAGTGACTCTGGATGAACACTCATCTCCAGAGCTGGAACCGTGGGCGCAAATACCTCTACCTCTTCACTGTCCACTGTGTATGCCGCAAGGGCCAACCGGCACGCTGCTGTCGGGGTTAGCAGTTAGAAGTGCACCTGCCAACTGGACAGATGCTAAGTCCCGAAGCAGCGACCTTTCTGGTCCCGCGGAAAGCCGTCAATCAAGTGCTTCAGAAAGTGGAAGGAAAACAAAACCTACTCAAGGAGCAGCAAGAGCTGGCTTCACATCCACGAATCAAAGCTCCACCCCTAAGGCCAGCAGCACCCCCGGAGGAAAGGGGCCGCTTGAGCTCCTAAGGCCCAGGGCTCCCAGTTAGGGTCAGGCCGTCGCCCAGCAGTGGCCACCCCGGCCCGGTTCTCCAGAGCAGGGACCCGCGGTGCTGACACAGAGGCTGTTGGTACGTCGCAGAAAACCCGTCCCGAAGCGAGGGCGCACGTCACCGGCCTCCGAGCGCCAGGCTGGCAGCTTGCTGGTCAGGTTCCTACCCTGGCAGGAAACCCCTAGTGCCCGGGGGAGGGCCCCCCACTGCCCGGAAGGTGCCCACGTCGCCGCCCGCTCCGCAAGGGGGCCTGCACGCCGGGCCGGGCCTCCCCCGCAGCCGGAGCGGGCGGTGGCAGAAGCACGGGCGCCCCTTCTGAGCCGCAGAAGCCGAGCTCACGAGGATGCCGGAGGTGGCCGCCCGGGAGGGGACACTGAGGCTGAACACGTGAGCTGCACGGCTGCACGCAGCACCTCACCCCCCGGAAACGGACGCTGAGTACTTACTGCCACGAACAGCATGCAGTACATGGAGAACGAAGAGTGGCCCGAGTAAAAAGACAATCTAGAAGAGAAAGAAGACAAAGGTCACTTTTCTTTTCTAGAGGCGGACAATCGTCTTGATGTCCTAAATCTTACTGCCTCGGAGCAGACCCCTCTCCGCCCTCACCTTGACGAAGTACAGGAGTGGGGAAGGGGTGCCTATGACTGAGGCTTCCCGCAGGGAACAAACGTGCCACGGCCATTTCTTGAAGTAATGCTCGGCAAGCCACAACCCACCGGTATATAAATGGTCGGACTTCATGACACGCGAACTTAAAGGACCAGGATTTCAGTTTTATTTTCTGCCCGCAAGGCTTGCCCCGGAGTGCTAGTAATACCCCCTTTAGAACACTCAGAAGTCAACTACTTCTTCAAAAAGAAAATCGACTTTAAAAAGTTAGAAGTGGTATTTTAGCCTTTTAAATAACGGGCACACATCCTGCCTTAGATTTCCCACCAGATGAAAGGGTTTTTGTTTGACATTTCTTTTAAAACTGCACTGAGAGTCCGTACCAGATGAATCCACACTTTTCAGTATTATATTCTATCAACATGTGAGTATCATCTTCCCACCCAAAATGACAGAATGCTTGCAAAACTTAATTTTATGGCCCCTTCTGGAAAAGGGAGAAGCTTACTAACATCCATGATCTGGGTTCTGCTTACAGAGTGCTGGCCGTTGGAGCAGAAAAGGCAAGAACATTCGATCCAGTAATAGTAACTCCATGCAAAGGATGCATCAAGCAAATAATGAGAATGCTTCTCCTGCCCATGAATATGAACAAAACTCAGAAGGGCAGGCTTCTAAGTATTTTACTTATTACCCCCTGCTTGATTCAAAAGGAATTTGGTTACCTGGATTCAGAGAGGTGAAATTAAAACACAGATCAGAAAGTCATCTGTGGGGCGCCTGGGTGGCTCAGTCGGTTAAGCGGGTTCCCTGCTCAGTGGGGAGCCTGCTTCTCCCTCTGACCCTCCCCCCTCTCATGCTCTCTCTCTCTCTCATCCTCTCTCTCTGTCTCATCCTCTCTCTCTCAAAAAAAAAAAAAAGAATAGATAAGAACAGGGGCACCTGGGTGGCTCAGTCGGTTAAGCGACTGCCTTCGGCTCAGGTCATGATCCTGGAGTCCCGGGATCGAGTCCCGCATCGGGCTCCCTGCTCGGCAAGGGGTCTGCTTCTCCCTCTGACCCTCCCCTCTCTCATGCTCTCTGTCTCATTCTCTCTCTCAAATAAATAAATAAAATCTTAAAAAAAAAAAAAAAGAAAGTCATCTGTGTATGTTTGGCAACTGAGAGGAGGTGGGAGTGGAGATTTTTTAAGCATTGTACCGATGATGATCTAGCAAGAATTAGGAGTCTTTTTCATAATCAGATACATCTCTAAGAAAATGAATATTCTCACGTCTAGTACCAGCTAGGAATTACATCATTGAACTTGATAATTACTGTGGATTTAATCTATGTAAAACAAGAAAAAGAAATCACTTTTACCCTCACCAACTGTTTGGCTGTGGAGAACAGATCGGTACAAGTCCTTCCTTTAAATTAGATAATTAGAGCAGAGTTCTACACATTTTTATGTTTCAGCAAGTTATACTGAAGAACCTACAAGTTAATAAAAGCCAATTTCAAGAACTGTCGAATACCATCAAGCCCACATGACCACGATCAAGGAAATGTTCTCAAAGCCGAGCAAGTTCAAAGTCTCACCGAGACTTCGTCTTCAGACTAGTCACTGTACATTGTGCGACAAAACTGTAAATTCCAAACCTACCCAACAGTCTTACACAGTCTGATTCAGTCACAGGCTGATTTCACTAGGTAAAAACAAAATGGTTTCGGTTTTGTATTCCAAATACATAAAGAGGTATTCTATTCAGTATAGAATCAGCCAAATAACCTCTGACTTCAAACAGGGATTAAAACACATAAAGGGAGAACTCTATCTGACCTCACTCTTTAAGTCTCTAAGTCTGATCACAGTAAGTGATCAAACAAATCATGCTAATATGGACTTTTACCACTATTAAAACAGAATAAAACACCAAAATACAACTTCATGTTGTTTTCATATTCCATACACATATCTTTATTGGAATCTCTAGGAGATACAGCTCTTTATTATGTCTGAAACTCACAAATGAACAAATAATTGTATGAGTAGTTTGATAAAAATCCCAAAAGTAGGAGTGCCTGGCTGGCTCAGTCGGTGGAGCATGTGACTTGATCGAGGGGTTATAAATTCAAGCCCCACGTTGGGTGTAGAGATTACTTAAATTCTTTAAAACACAGTAATAGTAAAAGTAAAATACAATCCCAAAGGTAGTCAAAATGCAGATTGTTTTCATCACAGTAACCTCACTGAAGTACTTACGATTTTGGCCCTGGGCTCAGAATGTCACCCCGTTCTTAGATTTCAACCCAATCCTAGACCACCACCTCACTTCAGAAGAGGCCCTCTCATGACTGTAGATAAACAATTTGCAGCAGCTTCCCATCAAAGCTTAGGAAAGTCTTTCCAGAAAGAATATTTACAGAGATCAAATATATTCCGAAATGCAGCTATTTCACTAACTCAGGCATGACCTATGACACTGAGCAATAGGCGAGTCTGACAATGTAACCCACTGTGCACAGCATTCTTCTCCAAGTGGTAGATTTAAGATTTTTGTTTTATTTGCCAGCCAGGACCTCCCCTTCTCCTGGGAGAGCTACTCGGCCTGCACCCTAATGTCACAGCCTTCACCCCGCCCCTGCCAGTGCCCATGCGTTCCCACTCCTCAATCCATCATTCTTCCATCTCCGTTTTCCAACATCTACATTCAGCCTTACAAACTGCAAAGACAGCCAAACCTAACCTTTATCAGTCATCAGAAGAAAGTAACTCACAAAGTCTTTCTTAATTTTTTTTTTTTTTTAATTTATTTGACACAGAGAGACCCAGTGAGAGAGGGAACACAAGCAGGGGGAGTGGGAGAGGGAGAAGCAGGCTTTCTGCTGAGCAGGGAGCCCGATGCGGGGCTCGATCCCAGGACCCTGGGATCATGACCTGAGCGGAAGGCAGATGCTTAACGACTGAGCCACCCAGGCGCCCCGTCTTTCTTAATTTTTTAAATGGCATTTACTAAGTATTTGGGGGCTCGTGGTGAGGTTAAATCACAACCTCCTAAAAATCTCACTGCTCTTGCCCTGCCCTCTGATTTTCTTTCCTCCTCCCCACTCCCCAGAGTTAAAAGGCACAAAACAGTTACCCCTTTAGCTATTCTTTTAGTTTGAAATATCTACTTTGCATTCATTCTTGAATGATGGTTTTCCTGAATATAGAATTGTAGGTTAATCCTTTTTTTTCTCATCACTTTGAGGGTATCATTTGACTATCTTCTGGCTTCTACATTTGCTATTAAAATAGAAGCCATTTGTCTGCCATTCCTTTCTAGGTTACCTGTCCCTTCTCTGTAATTACCCTCCCCCTCCTCCACCAAGGTCTGCAATGTTCTCCAGTCTCACGATCATATATCTAGTAGGCATGTCTCTTTATTTATCTGATTTAGTATTCGTTGGCTTCCCATTTATATACTTCACCAATTTTGAACAGGTCTCAGCCATCACAACTTTGACTGTTATGTATCCTCCATCCTACTCTCTTTTTCTGAGATTCAGATTCAACATGTTTAACATTTTCATCCTTATCTATCTCTTAACCTTTCTTTTGTACTTTAAATCTTTGTCTATCTTCCATTTCAGCTCTCACTTTCAGTGTCTAAAGTCCTTTATCAGTCTATTTTTTTTTAATTTAAATTACTACGTATGTATCATTTATAAAAGATCTCTTTGGTCCTTTTTCCAATCTATGGTTAATTTTGATCCTGTTCATCCTTCATTATATTCTCGGTCTCTATTTCTACACAGTAGATATACTGATTTTTATATTCTATATGGTAACTCTACTATCTGCAATCTGTGAGACCTTATGTAGTTTGTTGTATCTCCTAACTCTCACTTAGGGTAGCTTGTTTCTATGTATGTTCATTCGCAGGAGAATATGAACTCATGTCCTTGACACTCTATCTGTGGGTAATCTTAGAGGTCTTGGTTTAAAAAGAGTTCTTCCAGCAAAGATGTGTGTTCTCTCCTGCTGGGTTCACTACCAATCCACTTTTAAAAATTTTAAAAATAAATGAATAAAAGAAAAGCCTGTCTGTTTATGGGAAACTCATATGAAAAGGAGGAATCTAAAAAGGAGAAGTTGATAACTCGGGAGATAAAGGAAAGAAAAACTGGGTGTGCCTTGAAAATCAGATGACTGGGGAATAAAGGTTCTACACCCTGAGCAGTGGAACTCGTGTCTCTGACAGATGAGCAGAGGTCAGGGAGTGACAAAGGTTACTGACAGAAGGGTAAAACAGACAAAACACTAATCAGGAGAAGAGAGGTCACAGGTTTCCTACAGCATGAGGGAAAAACTGATTACTTGGTGCAGAAAGACTCCAAATCACCAACATGGCATTATCGAAGAGTTAAAAAGTAAACAAAGGGCAATTGGTAGATTACACAAGGGACTTAACTCTGAGGCATTCCTATGCTGGCAACTAGTAAACACCCTACCTCCTACCGCCCCCACCTCCTTTTAAAAACACACTGAACAAGGAAAACTACCTTGCTAAAAGGTAAAAGATTTCAGAGTGAGTCAGAAGGAAGACAAAGTTCTAAATCGCTTTCTAAGGTGTTTTTTTAAGGGGCAGGAATGCTAGCCAGAGGCAAGACTGCCAGACCTCTACTTTTAGCCCTCTCCCAAAAAGACAACATGAAAGCCAAGAAAGCCTACTCAATCTGGCCAGTCCACTCCACTTCCTACCCTGATGCAGATCATGAAATCACCATTAACTCTTTACCAGCGGGGTCAGGAACGACGAGGCTCAAGACATCAGTCCAAGTCTGTACGATTATACATAAGATACGTTCATCAGAAAAATTCAGAAGGTACAGCAAATCAAGAGAAAAATTGCTGGTAAACTTCCAACCTCCCTGAGATCCATCTTAATTCATCTTGCATCCCTAACACCCACCACCATTTAATCGAGCATACAGGAGGTGCTCAATACATTTTTTAAGCTCAAACAGAATCTAATGTCTTAATGATAAATGAATTTTTATGTAGTTATCCCAGAAAATGTAAAATTCTTACACTTTTCATATTTTCAATGTCACAAACAAATGCACCTCTGCTCCTTCCCCCCCCCCACCCCCCACTCCCCTGACACCGCACCAACAATAGGGTATCACTTCAGTGGCTCCACAAGAAGTAGACCTTTAACTATCCTGTGTTTTGACAGCTATAAATAATGTATAAAATAAAACTAAGGATGTACGTTACCTTTGCATAATAATGTTAGCATATAATTAAATGCTAAACTTAGCTAAGCCTATGCCAATAATCACAGCAAGCCACATAAGTTATCTGATTTTAACATCTTACCTCTGATGTGTTTTCCCCTTACAGTGGTTACAAATTCTGACTTTATCATCACAGTTCAGGAGAATTATAAAGTCCAGTCTAATACCCCTGCTCTTTTCACCCTTCTGTAAGAAACTGTGAGCAGTATCAATGTGTGTCAGCTTAAACCCGCACTACCTAAGGCCTCTTCCCAATACATGTGGCAAGCATTTCAATAATGTGTGTAAAATGTCCAGAAACCTTTTTTACATTATGATCAAAGGCAGTCAGATTAGTGGAACAAATGATATCCATAATGATAAAGGAACAGATACACTCTGTTGTAAATAAAAAACAAAGTTTTAGAAGTATTCTCACGGGCACCTGGCTGGCCCAGCAGGTGGGGTGCGACTCTTGATCTCAGGGTTGTGAGTATGAAACACACAAAGAAACACACAAAGACAGATTTCAATGATCTCTGAATAAGGAACCAACACAATCCATACATCAGGTTTTACTTTTCACAAATTCAACGCACATTCTACCTCTCAAGAAAAATATTTATTTTCTAATTAAACGAAAATACTGAATGCATGCTGTTCACATTTATTCTGAACAGAAACCCCAGGCTTTACACCACTCGATTATATATATTTTTAAGATTTTATTTATTTATTTGAGAGAGAGAGAAAGCAAGCCCAAGTAAGGGGGAGAGGCAGAGGGAGCAGCAGGCTCCCTGATGAGCAGGGAGCCCAATGTGGGGCTCAATCCCAGCACCCTGGGATCATGACCTGAGCCAAAGGCACACACCCAACTGAGTGAGCCACCCAGGGGCCCACCCCTCCATCCATTATATTTTTATCTGGAAAAAGTACTAATGTATCTACGCAACTTTTTTTTTTCATATTTCAGAGCTGGCAATGGGGAATTCAAGAGTTCTAAGGTGAAGGTACAAAGCATCAATACGAAATAATCAGCTGATGACGTGTTCATGTGATTTAGTAGCCTATTAACATTTAATGCACAGCACTGCTGTGGGATGGCATGATATGCCAAATGTCTAAACTTAGAGTGTAATTAGTTGGGGCTGGGGTGGGGGAAGGTTGGTTGTTTTTAAAATAAATTATGATATACATATATTTACCAATAGATAGTGGCAGGAAGTCACTGAAAGTAAAGAAAGGATCTTGTCTTTGCAAGTGTGCACCTCGACCAAAATAAAGCCACATGTCAACTCATTCTGCATTCAGGAAAGACAATCAGGCACCACGTCAAATCTCAAGGGAGAAAAAAATCTTTTGCTTTTATTCCACATTAAAACAAAATTATATGGGGCGCCTGGGTGGCTCAGTCGGTTAAGCGACTGCCTTCAGCTCAGGTCATGATCCCGGAGTCCCGGGATCGAGTCCCGCATCGGGCTCCCTGCTCGGCAGGGAGTCTGCTTCTCCCTCTGACCCTCCCCTCCTCATGCTCTGTTTCTCATTCTCTCGGTCTCAAATAAATAAATAAAATCTTAAAAAAAAAAAAAATTATATGGAACGTATAAATGCAACACAGGCTAAATCAAACGTATGCGTAAGAATGTGTACAGCTATTTAGGTATTACATGGGGCAACTTCGCTTTTATTTCTAAACAAAGAAGTTTCTTCAGCCTTAAATGCCCCAGATTGTCTTAGAAATAACAAACAAGTGGCCAACAAAACCCTGAAAGTGACACTGCTTCTACTGAAGCTAAATCTAGTAAAACACTGCCTGTACCCCCTCAGCCTCCAGCCCAGCTGCCTGCCTGTGCTACTGCTCGCTGAGCCCTGACACACACCCCATCCTAACTCACACATTCGAACCGTACTCATCCTCCAAAATGCCTCCTCTCCTAGAAGCAGTATTAACACCCTCTGGTTTCAGGGTTTCATCCTCACTCCTTCAAGGCATGTATCTGTCACACACACAGTCTCCCAACATGTCTCACCCCTGGTGCAGTGAGCACCATGTACACTTTGGGAGGCACTCCCACCGCGACTAGGACTTAACAGCAATAGATAGTAGTTGAATTTCGTAACTTCATGGATAGGCTGAAGCTGTGATTCTCACGTTTTGCCAGGTACTTAATCCCACAGCTAGTCAGTCTAATTATAATGGGTTTTCACTAGTATAGAAGGCACTCCCTCAAAACTCAGTTTTATTTACCTGCATAGCGGTTGCATTAAAAAAAGACAAAAGGAAAATTATTTCTCACATTCAACCAAACATATCACAATTAATTATCTAAATAATACAAAGCTGCCATAATCCAAAAGAAGTAACTTTATATTGAATATCTGATTTATACAGCCAAAGACCAATCGCTCAGAACTGATCAGAAACGCTGAGTCTATCCTTAAGCAAATGTAATTTAAATAAAAGCCAGAAAAAATAAAAAAGTAAATTTCTTAGAGAAGACAAAAGTTTCTATATTGTAGTATCACAAACAGAGCAGCTCTTAGCGAGCTGTCTTGCTCAACTATAGACCCCAACAGTTAAAACCAGAAACAGGCAAGACTGCTTAACTGATGCTCCAATGAAAACCCATTGTGCTTATTTCTTATCAAACTTTCTCGAGGCATTGACAAAGACATTTTGCGAAGACCTGAACATCCCAACTGCCAGACCAGAAAAGCCCGGATAGCAATGGAATGCCTAGACGACCACATCCCACATGTCCCCTTCCCTGCCCGTGATCGTGGGCTGAACACATAGTGACTCCCACCCATGATCACGCACTCCCGCCTGCTCTCTTGCATGTACTCCACCCCAACCTCTCCCTGTAACACAGTAGGTGTCCATCTTGCTGGTGGAGAAGTCAGTGGTTAAAGCTTGAGCCTGCCACCAAGTTCCTTGCTGGCAGCACCCTACATTTCTCCCTTTCTCTTTTCCAAACCATCTTCTCTTGAGTTACTGACTTCTCTTACAACCAGTTTATCTGAGTTTGTTCCACAACAGTGTTGGCAAACCCAGCCAGGAGCTGTGCTTCCGATTTGTCCAGCCTCCTTGGGGTTCCCTGGCACAGAGCAATTGGCCCCAGGACCACCAGGGCCCACCTGCTCGGCTCCTGAGTTAGTGGCGGTGATAGGTCATTCGGTAACACAGCTAGTTGTGCACAATCTTAAATTCACCCTGCCAAACATCCTAAGATAACAGATGTCATGTGAGGTTGTTCCCATCATCCAGGGGATTTTAAGCACTGGTTCACAAAGTACGGTCCTGAGATCAAGCACAGAGGCAGGAGCATCTGGGAGTGTGTTAGAAATACATCTTCTCAGCCCCCACCCCCACTTCCTGAATTAAACACCTGAGGAGGAAACATTGAAATCTGTGTTTTCACAAGCCCTCCAGGTGATTCTAACGAACAACTCATATTTGAGAGCCATTGGTCTAAAGAGTCTCTAAAGAGAATGTTTACCTGGGCAGAGTGCTACAGGTCCGAACTGCCTGGGCTCATTAGTAATTTTTTTTCACAAAGTAATGCTATTCTCAATGGCATAAGCGAGGGCAGCTGGATGTCCCAGAGTTACAAGTACACAGCCCCTTTTCATTTATAGTAAATTCCCAGGTATTAATTTTAAACAATGAAGAGGAGCTCTCTGGATATTACAATTAATAGGTATGCCAGTATAGTCCATTTATGTTCTCACTTCTATGTTTAGGACCCAGGGCCACAAATGAAGCCTGGTAAAAGTCCTCTGACATCAGTGATACAAGAGCACAAGACTGTGCACATATGCAGGAAGGGCAGAAAGAGGAATAGAAGAAAATAAGAAAACGAATGGGGAAAAAGCCAAAACTGTAAGAGAGTACTCTCACCCTCAGATGTAACTCTGACTCATTTATAGTCAACAAAAATGACTCATTTCGGGTGCTTATGTTCCTTTCTCTCCAATGTCAAGCATTATAATTTCATAATTAAAATAAACGTACAGGGGGCAGCCTGTGGAGATAAATAAATTAAAGGAGATTACACTATAATCCTAATATATTACAGACAATGTCTAGACTGAAATGTTTTTGCATTTTTGGCATCCTGACTTAAAAATTCAAGAGAAAAGCAATAGGAAAGCCTGAATCCAACGAAATTATGCTTCTCAACAGAACAGCAATGCAAAGCCAGTTATGCACCAACGTTACAAAGCTCTGGAACTGTGGCAACAACTAACTCATTCTGGAAACACCAATGGAAATCCCATTTTTTCTCAGAAGATACAAAGTTTTCTTAAAATTTCATTTCTAGGTTTGATTTTCCTTCTTATTTCAGAACCCCAAAGCTAATCAACAGATCTTCTCACTGAAAATGTGGGAGGCTGAAGAAACTTTAAAGGGTAATGGGTAAAAAACCTACATGTACTTAAGTCAAAAGTACCATCAGAGTATTACAGTACATGTTGGCCAATTTATAGATACACTAGGAAGACATACATAATAGGACATATATGGAGTGGAAAATGTAATCACATTTATGTCATTTAAAATAAATTACATTTTGGGGCACCTGGATGGCTCAGTCGTTAAGTGTCTACCTTCGGCTCAGGTCATGGTCCCAGGGTTCTGGGATCGAGCCCCGCATCGGGCTCCCTGCTTGGCAGGAAGCCTGCTTCTCCTTCTCCCTCTCCCACTCCCCCTGTTTGTGTTCCCTCTCTCGCTGTGTCTCTCTCTGTCAAATAAATAAATAAAATCTTTTTAAAAAGTAAAAAATAAAAATAAATTATATTTCACATTTTGTCCAAATGGCTCGTGTAAGAAAGAAAAATCTCTCATAACACATATTGTTGCAAGAAAATTTTGAGCTAAAATATATGTACCCAAACCAGAGAAACAATACATGTGTAAAGAAACCATGTTCTTAAAGAATCATTTATAATGATATTTTCTGGAGTTTAGGTAAGCCCTTATCACCTAACTTTCTTAAATACCGTGACAAGAGAAAACATTAGAGTTTTCCTATTTTCTGTTGGGTGATGCAGGAGACATGTTACTAGAGACACAGGCATGGATAGTCCTCTATATTTCCCTGAGTCTTCAAACTCTTCACTGAAAGTCATTGCATCTCCTAGTCATTAAATTTGAGATCTTTCCCTAGGACGTTGTAGTGTTATGAGAGCAGAGAATGAGATCTCCACATCCCACACCCTCAGAGCCCAGTGTTGGTGTTGGTAAGTTCATCACTCCTCAAAGCCATTTCTGGACGATTCTTCCCCTAGCCCTCTTAAAAAATGCTTGCTTACCTAAACTCAAATCAACAATACCACCTTCCATCATCAATTGCCTATAGCATTAGCCATTTCTCTCTCCTTCATTCATTAAGACTTTATACCCCTACCAGTCCTCCTATGACCACCTCAAAGCTTGCCATTCAACAGCCTCTCTATTCTCTGGTCTCGTTATCAACAAGGAGGTTCTTTTCCACTGCCATCACTTTTTTAAGTCCTCTGTGCTAGACTAAGCTCCATGAAGATGAGAACCAGAGCTTTCTAGTTCACGGCCAGATCTCATGCACACAGCACAGTGTATACTCTTAGTTAAATAAGGTGTTTTTTTCATCTCCACTAAATGCAAAAATTGGGGGCTACTACAAGGCCTGTGTAGCTTATAAGAGAACCAACAAGGACAATAAAGTGCCTGAGAATAATGTATAAAGAACAGTCAAAGGATATTTTACCCAAAGTACCTGTTGGATGATGAATAACTAAGGTAAAGTGACAGCTATCTTAAAATATAAGAACGTCAATCATACAGAAAAGGTAAGGCTGACAATTCTGAGACATGAGATGGGGAACTGGCTCTGCTACTAATTAGTAGCTTTATTTATTTTTATTTTTTTTAAAGATTTTATTTACTTGAGAAAGAAAGAAAGCAAGTGAGTGAGCATGAGCTAGGGGAGGTGCAGAGGGAGAGTGAAAAGCAGACTCCCCACCAAGCAGGGAGCCCGATGCGGGGCTCAATCCCAGGACCCTGGGATCATGACCTGAGCCGAAGGCAGACGCTTAACTGACTGAGCCACCCAGGCCCCATTAGCGGCTTTATTTAATGTTACTGGACCTCCATTTGCTCATCTACCCAAAGGAGTTGGACCTTTTGGGTTTCAAACATTCTATTTCATTCATGCCTAATAACGCTCCAGGTATAGAAAGGAGCCTAACAAGGGCATTATAAGAAGGCAACCTAAAGACCTAAAGCTGTCAATATATGAAGTTTCCTTACAAAAAAATATACTCTAAGAATACTAAGAGATAGAGCAGAACTTAATACACGCATCAAAGGTCAGCAAACTACAACCCCTGGAGCAGCCACTGTTTCTGTTAATAAACTTTTACTGGAACATAACCACACCCATTTGTTCAAGGATTGTCTATGGCTGTTTTTTCCTGGTACAACAGCACAGATGGACAGTTGTCAAATTAACCAAATGGCTCACAAAACCTAAAATATTTACTATCTGGTGCCTTAAGAAAAAGTATGGTGGCCCTGCACTATATGACATATGAAGTTCATTTTAATTATTCATGAGAGATGGAAAGACCTGCATTAAAATGCTCTTAAACAGAAGGTAGGGATAAAATGGGGAAAAAAGCGTAAGTAGAGATAAGTCAAAATACGATCTCAATTCAGCTCCCAGTGATTACACTAGCTTCTCTCCCTAAGCTAGTGGATGGCTCATCTTCCAGTCTCTGAAACCTTTTTTTCCAAGAATACATAAGATAAAACAAACACTGAAGATTTAACACTCACCTGCCCTCCTTCACTTTGTGTGCATTCCCTCGACATATGTAGTTTTCAATGTAACCAACACTGCAGTTGATTTTTGACCAATCTGGGTCACATACATCCAGGAAGTGAGGCCGCAGTCTGCCTATTGAATACTTGGCAATGTCAGTCAGGGACTGACTAGCAGCTGCACCAAATAAAAATGTTCCAATGGCTTTGTAAATAGTGGCTATGTAGTTATTTCTGATAAAGGAATTCGAGTGCAAGAGGTTATAATAAACAGACAGGGCTTCTCCAATAATCATCTGAAAAAGAAACAGAAAAATAACATGTTAAAACAGCAACCAGGCACTTTAAACAAAATAAAAAATAGAAAAGAAAATGGTAAATCACAATAAAATCTTTATTTTAAAAACACCTCCCTTTTTCATTTGCAAATGGAGAGTCAGGATATCTAATTCTAAACTATGAAAAAAGGTGTCAGATCAACTATGGATACTGCTTACAAAGCAATGGCCAAAATAATTTCAAATCTACCTGAAACAATAAGACCTTATTTCTTTCCTGGTACTCAAATGAGTTTTAATAAGCAGACAATGATGTATCATGAATGACAAAAACCATGGTTTGTTCAAATAACACAAACTTTCCTAATTAGAGTATCCCTTGTATAAGTACTTTTATCTGGCAGTGTCTTCATTTTTAGCCAACATTCCTCTGAATCAAAAACATCCATCATATTTTAAAAAGTAAAATAGTTTCAGGGAGTAAACTAATATCAAAGCAGGGATCTAACACTGAGGCCAAAGGGTACAGAGGGCAGAGATTAGCTGACAGAGCCTCCCAGCCCTGCCTCTCCAGACCCCTAGGGCTGGTTAACAAGGCTCTGACAGACTTAACAAGTCTCATTAACAGACCAAACACACATTTGATGCTCTCCTTCTCCAAGAAAACATTTCAAGTGATTCTTTCCTCTTTATTTTTCACTAAAAGTGGAGACAAAGCCTTCCCAGATTCTAGTAGAGTGTGTGTCAGCCAGCATATACTGCTATAATGAGTTTAAAGGCATAAAAAGCCTTCTCAATACTTGACAAGTTCACAGACCAAAACCGTAAGAAATCCAAAAAATACTGAGGAGCAAATTTATACAAAATTACATTTGCTGATAAAATAATCCACATTCTAGCTACCTGAGTCCAAAATAAATAGTTGAACAAGAAGAAAAAGCTTGCTTATTTATGTTGAGCAAGGGAGGAGATGCAAGTCACAAAATTTTTCTTAAGTACTAGTCTTGCTGCTTCATCTTAAATTTACATGAACAATCTTATAAAACATTCAAACATTTCCATTTGGTGCAGATTAATTATCTTCATGGTAAGCCTTATAGTAGGTAAAATAAATGGTTGCCTCCTAAAAGAGATTTTAAACTGATAAGAACAGATACTACACTTGATCTTAGCCAAAAGGCCAAGAAGCGATTAAGAACCTAACACCAGGGGCACATGGGTGGCTCAGTCGTTAAGCGTCTGCCTTGAGCTCAGGTCATGGTCCCAGGGTCCTCGGATCGAGCCCCGCATCAGGCTCCCTGCTCAGCAGGAAGCCTTCTTCTCCCTCTCCCTCTGCCTGCCGCTCCCTCTGCTTGAGCTCTCTCTGTCAAATAAATAAGGAAAATCTTAAAAAAAAAAGAAAAAAAAAAAAAAAAGACCCTACACCAAAAGTTCTTTCTTTGTTTGGCTCCATGGCTCCATAATTAGAATGTTAAAACTTAGACAACTAGACTATGAATCCTACAAAAGAAAGAATCAAGTTTTAGTCATTGAATAAAAACCCAGTACCACCATAATGGCCTCCAACAGAGTAGGTGGTTAGTAAATTTTAATTGAAAGGGGTGCCTCGTGGGTAAAACGTAAACTCCCTTAGTTTAAACATTAAGCCCCACAGAAATAGATTCCTCATTACAGTAATTAATGTGAATTCAGATCCTTTTCTGAGAACAGGTCTCTCAGAAGAGAAAAACCATATGCACTTCTAGGGATACCACACCTCTGCAATTGTGCTTAGGGTTCTCCCAACCCCCTCCAGTGGCCCATGTATTAAAGTATATACTGTCTCCTCTGACTGCCAAGGTGTCCCAGCAACCGCCTTTATAGATGAGCATGCAAGAGAGGACTTCTCTCATGTTTCATTATGGAGTTGCTCTTTGATCATTTACAATATATACCAAGTATATTAATCAACCACAATTTGAGCAGCTAAAACTCCCCCACTTCAGCTGTCAGCTGTTCTTGTGTAAGCACTCAATTATTTTCCAGTTCTTTAGGGCCACCCAAACCCTGGTTCTTGACACTGAGGTCAGAAAGTCAGCTCACTAGGAGAATTCTGCGCAATGCGTACAGATGACAAACTGATTCACAGAGGTAGTGTAAGCTGAAACTTAAAACCCTTAATGCTGGGAAAGGGCAGGGGGATTCCAAAGCTGACAAATGCTGGGTTAATGTACATCGTTTTTTATTATGTCCTCCATCCTCACTGAGAGAGCTAGACAACAGACAAGTTCTAAATTGATTTTCTAAATTAAATGTAGGGATGTGTCTGAGCATTTCACTATACAAGACAGCCATATTTTTGTTTCATTTTAATACTTTGTCCTGCCCTCTGAGTCATTTATGCCAATGCTTAGCTTTTGGTAAAGTCCACACTTTAGCTGACTGTGGCCTTATCTTAGAGTTGTGATCACTTCTTATGCATTATTTACACTCCAAAGGTAGGATCAATTATTAAAGAACTAAAGATAATGTCTGGGGAACTAAAACAAAATACTTTTTTTTTTTTTTAAGATTTTATTCATTTATTTGAGAGAGAGAGACACAGCGAGACAGGGAACACAAGCAGGGGGAGTGGGAGAGGGAGAAGCTTCCCGCAGAGCAGGGAGCCCGAAGAGGGGCTCGATCCCAGGACCCTGGGATCATGACCTGAGCCGAAGGCAGACGCTTAACGACTGAGCCACCCAGGTGTCCCTAAAACAAAATACTTTTGAAGATCAAAGCTAATAATTACCAAATCCATGTAATTCAACCATTTAAAACTTATGCACCACAATATTTTCTCACCATCTCCTTTATAGTTCCATCAACCAAGATGATTTTATACATCTCTACACTGTCCCTATATTATGTACCTCCCCTTCAGGGCCCACCTTCCCAAAAGTGTAGTCTAAAATCACTGGTGTGCTGGGACACCTGGGTGACTCAGTCGGTTGAGCGTCTGCCTTTGGCTCAGGTCGTGATCCCAGGGTCCTGGGGTCGAGTCCCGCATCGGGCTCCCTGCTCAGCGGGGAGCCTGCTTCTCCCTCTGCCTCCCGCTCCCACCGCTTGTGCTCTCTCTCTCCCGCTCTCTCTCTGACAAATAAATAAAAATCTTTTAAAAAATAATAAAAATTAAAAAATTAAAAAATAAAATCAATGGTGTACTTCCACTCCTTCCTAAATATCTTGAACTACCGTCATTCCCTTTATTCTACTGAATCTTTTTCAAAAGTCAAAATGGTCTCATCAGATTGAACAGTATTTATCAACTCTCATTTACCTTAACTTCTCACAGTATTTGATCACTGATCATTTCTCCTTATTGAAATTCTCCCTTGGCTTCTGAGAAACTGTATTAACTCTGGTTCTCTACCAGGCTCCCTCAATCACTTATCTATCTGTGGATCATCTGTAAGCCAGGTCAAAGCCTGGTATGAAGTCTGAATCACAGTCCTGATTTTTTTTTTTTTAAGAACTGATTCACTTTCTAGTAAATAAAATTAAACATTATTTACATGTCTAACCAAGAGCTTACTGAAATAAGTGGAGTTAATAAACAAAGTGAATTTTTAAAAATTAGTACATAAAACTACCACCCTGTGCAGTGTTGGCTGATATGAAAATAGTACTTTCATAGCACCTTTAAAGAGTCTGTTCTTTTTTAAGAAACCTACACTCAATTTATAATCGTTTTATTAAACACAGAGATAACTTTCTCACATAGATGATGTAATCGTCAAAACTTAGGAATTCATGAAATATAAATAACAAGTTCTCGCTCACTGAGGGTTCCATCAGGCCCTGTGTGGATGCAGGCTACACCTACAGTGCCCGGCCGTCAGAACCCCGACCTGCAGCAGGCCTCTGGTCTGTACTGGATTTCGGTAGTTTTGCTTGTGCAGCAACCTTTTGACTGAGAGACACAAAGTCAAGCAGAACTGAAAGACAAGTCCAGGGGCGCCAGGGTGGCTCAGTCGTTAAGCGTCTGCCTCTGGCTCAGGTCATGATCCCAGGGTCCTGAGATGAGGCCCGCATTAGGCTCCCTGCTCAGCGGGAAACCTGCTTCTCCCTCTCCCACTCCCCCTGCTTGTGTTCCCTCTCTCGCTGTGTCTCTCTCTGTCAAATAAATAAATAACATCTTAAAAAAAAAAAAAGAAAGAAAGACAGACAAGTCCATCTGCAGCAGTGTTCGAATACTCCAAGGGAGAATCTTGTATGAACTCAGCTACTACAGCTGACCCTTCGACAGCACGTGTTTCAAATGAGTGGGTCCACTTACATTATACAGTACTGTAAATGTATTCTCCCTTTAGGATTTTCTTACTAACGTTTTCTTTTGTCTAGCTGACTTCATTGTATAATACATGTAACATACAAAATATGTGTTAATTGACTCTTTATGTTATCAGTAAGACTTCCAGGCAACAGTAGGCTATTAGTAGTTAAGTTTTGGGGGAGTCAAAAATTTTAACACAGATTTCTGACTGCACCGGGTGTCAGTGTCCCCTAACCCCAACTTGTTCAAGGGGCAACTGTATTTGCAACTAAGTATCCTATTAAAAACTTTAAATTCAAATAGTATCTCAGAAACACACATACTTAAAAAAAAAATCTACTCTCACTGCCTTCTTAAAGGAACAATCATAGGCTTGGCTTTTGTTCTTTCAGCAGTAAAAATTCAGTGTAAAGATTTGTCTAGATTAAAGGGATCTGATTTCTTAAAACTTCACCTTACTGTAGAAGAGCCAGCCAAGGTCACTATGTAATTACTCTCATTTCATTCCAGCACCTAGGACATGCCAGGTTCCACCATGCCCAGCTCCCAGGCAGGCAGCGGGAGTCCCAAGGAGAACAAAGCACCATCTCTGCCTTCCAGGAGTTCACAGTCTCATAAAACAAACATGTTTATGAGAAAGGTTTTCTTTTATTAATTATGTACCCCAAATAATGAGTTGATTAATTCTCAATGCTAATAAGGAGCCGTGATCATTCTTGAATAAAACATTGAATTTCTAAATTAAGCTTTTTTTTCAATAAACACCAAAACTGACCAGACACACATGTTATCTTATTGGCCTACCTCCTGGATGGCACCATATTTTCTACTTTCAACCAACATAAATCTTCCTTCTAAAGTTACAAGTCATGGAGCATAAAGCTATTTAATCTAAGTCACAGACTCTCTCAGTTGAGAAATTATGAAATAATCTAGTCCAATCCCTTGATGTCTTCTCCTTAGAGCACAATCTCTAAGCATTCTCACCCGAAATCCTAAAAGCAATAGTTACTATTAGGTTTCAGTACCAGTAAAAATTCTCTTGTGTTCACTGCTGATTATATACACAACTTTGGCTTTTCTCTCTAGTTGCTGGCATTATATAAAAATTCTTTAACATGGGTTAGAATGAAGTCTTAACATTAGTTATTTTTCTTTTTTTAGAACTCGGTAACTAGAAAGTTGGTACATACACACAGATCCCACAAATCATAAAGTAATACCCTAGGTATAAAGTATGCTAAAAACATACTGCTATAACATGTATCTACTGCATGATTACTGCAACAACAGCAACTTAGAGCTCTAAAAACCACAGTGACTTGGAAAATATTAGCATAAAAGCTACACACATTCAGTTAAGATTCTTCTAATTATACAGTTATTCCTTTGGTTCCACTTAAAATAGCTGAGATCACCTTGATCAAATAACATTAATTAAACGTTAAAAAAATACATTGTTTTGGACATTTATGCATTCAGTCATTAACAGATTAACACAAAACTAAGCCAACTGCCCAAAAGTGATAAACTTGGAAAAGTGGATTTGACTTACAACAATAATACTGAATGGAATGATTATTCCACCTAATAACGCATAAGGTATGGTGTCTTCTTTGTAAGGATACTTGATGGACTCATCATTACAGAATATTCCTCGTTGGAAGGGGGTATGCCTTGAAGTAAGAATTGCAAAAGGCAATCCAGCTAGCAAAAGGAATAAATGAAAATATCATTAAAATGGAAATACGAAAATTAATGGCAATAATTATCCCAGAGACTGTTTAAAAATGCATTTGCCATGAAAATAAATAAGAGCACATAAAAAGGAAATGCAGCAATGCAAGCAACACAAGTTAGAAAGATTACAGTTGAGATTAAAAAGATAGAAAGGGGACTAATGCTTTACCAATCTAACCAAGAGTATCTTCTTCCCTTTGTTTGTGCCCGAACACGCTAAACAGATGGCAGAGAAGACAAAAAAAATCCCTTCTCATGTTCGTTTGCCGCTCAATCACAGGGTTTTCAACACTATTCCCAAACCCATCTGTCATGCACTCTGCTTCCAAAAGGAAAACAGCTTTTTGACATTACCCATTTCGTCTCTACATTACTACCACATTTGGACAGGACATGGTCCTGGCTGAGCTATTAGAGTATCTGAATAATATGTTATCCACTCGTTTCTATACTGTCTATAGCAAGTTTCGAGCTGCTGTGAAAAGGATCTGAACTTAAACCAAGTGTAAGAAAAAATGGACAGTGAAGTCAAGCACAAAAACACCAAAAGACAGTTCTGTTTTCACCCATGTTTTCCCTCAAGATTATGTCTCACACTCACCTCCTAAACTGTCTTTTCCCTAAAAGTCAGCTTTAAGAATTCAGGTCTCCTTCACTGAAGCAGACATACTGATTAATATGCAGCATACCAACTAGGAATACTCTATAAAAGAGTTATAGGGGGCGCCTGGGTGGCTCAGATGGTTAAGCGTCTGCCTTCGGCTCAGGTCATGATCCCAGGGTCCTGGGATCGAGTCCCGCATCGGGCTCTCTGCTCCTTGGAGCCTGCTTCTCCCTCTGCCTCTCCCTCTCTGTCTCTCATGAATAAATAAATAAAATCTTTAAAAAAAAAAAAAGAGTTATAGGTTAGCAGAAACCTTCAACATGAGGTCTGTGTCGAGACTTACCCAAGTATGGAAGATTGTCTCTCTCAGAGACCCATTCTCCCAGCAGCAATGCCATAACCACCAAGCTAACATACTCATTGTATGTTTAAGTGTTCTTTCCATGAAGCACCAAGTCTTGATGACCATTTACAGGTCTCCTTAACTCCACTAAAACCCCAAAGGCTGAATGACAAACACAACTCTGCCACTCTGCCTGAGTGTCGTTACTACAAATATCAAGTATGTTCTACCTACAAGAGCTAAATGAAAAGAAGTATATTCCTAGTTCTTTTATTTATCTTCCTGTTTTTCATTTACATCCTGAATACATGAACCAAAGTTTCTATCTTTGTGTTAAATCATCTGCCAAAAGTGGCAATCCATTAGAAGTCTTTAAGATGTTCACAAGGTTCCCAAAGCCATACTTCTAGTAAAAGCTACAATTACAAATAAATAAATAAACTAGAATTGACTTTGCTAACTGACCCTTATACTACCTCTTATGTCTGATTTCAGACTATCCTCTGATTCACTAAACTGTCTGCACTCAGAGGAACAGGGTGAAATGCCCAAGCCTTTCACACAGATAGCACAGCTCCAGCACAAACCTTGTGCACATAGCAGCCACGCTGTGGAGGTTAGTAAGCAGATCTGCGCTATCAGTCGCTGCCTGCCCTGTACGGTAACTAACCATTCACCCTTCAACCAATAGCCATACTCTTACCGCATGAGCAAATTTATTTTGTATTCACAAAGTACCACCATTTCTACAGTTCAATTCTACTTGGAAAAACTCTACACATAATAATGGAAACTTTCAATCTCTACATTGCATATTTCTGAACTGGTTGAATTTTTCAGTGATGTCTTTCTTTTGTAGTGGGACAAGAAAATATCTAGTACAGAAATTAAATCCACATATGATTAGTGTCCAAAACTCAATAGGCTTTATGTCCTTATTCTCAGGAAAAATTCATATTAATAGACCCAAATATATTGAAAAATGTTCTTAGCAAGCATATCCACTAAGCTGGGTTTTGTTTTTTTTTCCTCTGACCAAAACAACTATGTTGGAAATTATTTTTAGATTTAGAAAAAAAGTTTGTGGGTATTTTTCTTAGGATAAGAAGGAAAGAAAATAAAGTCACATACAAGTATAATTAGCCCATTTTTAAAAACAGGAATATATAGATGGGTAAATATTGAGTGAATCCACTATCAAAGAATTCTGGTAGGTGCTACCAGGAATACAAAGTTATATAAGGCACAATACATAGGTGCAGCAAAGAATAAACAGAGGTACAAAAAGCTATGAAGGTTCAAAAGAGAAGTTCTGATGATATGCAAAAAGCTGGTGGTTACCACAGAACTCAGCAGAAAGCGTCTAATAAAGACAAGAGATTTGGGGATATAAAGGATCTCTGAAGCCACAGAGGTAAAAGAAAGAGCAGGACGGATATGAAATGAAATGAAAAGAAGAGGAGGGTGAGGCACAGGGCAGCAGCAATATTAAAAGGATGAGCACAGGAGGAAGATCCACTGAGGCAGACCTGGAGGGCCGGAGAAAGGTCAGGAGAGAGTAACATCACTGAGGTCAAGTCCAGAGACAGCATCTCAGGACGTGGTGATTGAGCCACAGCATCTAATACATTTTCAAGAGGCAGACTTAGTAAAAGTGGTTTTAATAAGGAAGAAAGGGTGGAAGCCATACCATGGAGATTTTAGTAAGGAATGATTAAAAAAATAAAAATTTAAAAAAGCAGGGATCTACCACAAATGCACACTATCTTTTAAGAGTGTGAGTGAAAAGCAATTTTATCACAGAAGGCCTTAGAAATATCTTAAATTAATAATATTTGTAATTTCTGAGAGTCCATGAGATCTATTTTATCAATGTCATTATCCAACACCATTTCACTTTTACTAAACCTGAATGTAGACCCCAAAAAGGGGAGGGAGAAGATCAAATCACCAGTTGTTCACTGACCCACTTCAGGCTCAAAAAGATGACCTAGTCCAGACTCCTGCTCTGGAAGTTTTGGAAATGGAACAAAGACTGACTCAGTCAGAGCTGGCAAGGAGCACTGAACCATGCACAAGAAAGAATGGCTGAGGAAGAGGCTGAGGACAAAGTAGGCCTGCAAAGAAAACAGAAGTGACTAGCCTGGCCGCTGAGAGTGAGAAATGGGGAAAGCGGCTTTGGCTCCCCATTGCCAAAGGGCCTCACTGATCTTGCTGTTTTGGAGCTGTTAGAGTGCCCTGTATCCTGTCAACAAAACCCAACCTTACTCCAGCTAGTTATAAAGGAATTCTGCCCCTTGCAACCAACAGAGCCATAACTAAAACAATTATAAAAACTCCTCCTACTGTGAGAGCATGTCGATTACTAATTTTTTTATTAGCCTTTGTAATGCTAGAGTGAACATTTCCAAATACTAGACCTTGTTTTCATTTCTAATTATTTCCTGAGAATATACTTTTTATGTGGAATTACAGGCCAAAGGATATAAATGTTAAGGTCCTTGACAAACTGCTCCAAAAAGGTTATTTTATATAACCACAATTTACTCTATCAGCCACAGTGTACAAAAATATGGAGAAATGCAAAAATTTAAGTAAAAACATCTGATGCTATTGTTAACTAAAGATTTCAAGGCAAAAGAGAAGGGTTCCATTTAGTCTTCTCAATGTAAATCGAACACCCTTTTCCTTTTACCTGAAAGATTACATCTCCAAGACAATCCCTTTTCATCATTAGTCAAATGACTACATTTGTCAATGTTTTTCTTAATACTTCAGTACAAAATTCATTTTCATTCCCTTTTTGAAAAAAAGTTTACTGACGTATAGTTCACATACCATAAAATTCATCCACTCATAAGTATATCATTCAGTGATTTAGGTAAATTTATAGAGTTGTACAACCATCACCACAATACAGTTTTAGAACTTTTTCATTACCCCCAAAATTCTCACAAGCCCATCTGCATTCAATCCTTGCTCCTACTGCCAACCTCAGGCAACCACTCATCTGTTTTCTGCTTCTTTTTGAGCATTTCACTTAAATGCAATCATTCAATATGTGGTATATCTTAAGTCCTTCTATCAGTTAGCATAATGTTTTTGAGGTTCATCCACATTGTAGCATGCATTTTGTTCCTTTTGTATTGCTAAATAGTATCCTACTGCATGTATATACAACATCTGGTTTATCCATTCATCAGTGGATATTTGAATTGTTTCGGTTTTTGTCTAGTAGGACTAATACCATTATAAACATTCACGTACATGTTTTTGTGTGGACATATATTTCCCTTTCTAATGAGTAGACACCTAAGAGTAGAATGGCCAAATCATATGGTATATGTTTATATTTAACTTTTTAAGAAATTGCCAACCTGGGGGCCCTGGTGGCTCAGTCGTTAAGCATCTGCCTTCGGCTCAGGTCATGATCCCAGAGTCCTGGGATCAAGCCCCACATCGGGCTCCCTGCTCAGCGGGAAGCCCGCTTCTCCCTCTCCCACTCCACCTGCTTGGGTCCCCTCTCTCGCTGTGTCTCTCTCTGTCAAATAAATAAAATCTTAAAAAAAAAAAAAAATTGCCAACCTGTTTTCCAAAATAGCCATACCACTCTACACTCCCACATTCTGCTTTTTAATATGCCCATGTAGCTAGTCATATTCATCCATTTAAGAATCAGATTTTCTGCATGGTAAACTCATACTTACCCACAAATAAATATAGCCTTCTACTTTCTACTAGTGAATATTTGTCATAGTTCAAAAGAGAATGTGTGATAGGGTAACTCGCCACTTTCACCAGCTAAATACCACCAGAGCAGTTCTTCATCCTTTACCAGAGATAGGAAAAGATAATATAAGAACATGGTTGGGTGCCTGGGTGGCTCAGCTGGTTAAGCCTCTAACTCTTGATTTCAGCTCTGGTTGTGGTCTCGGGGTCGTGGGATCGAGCCCCATATTGGGCTCCATGCTTAGTGGGGAGTCTGCTGGAGATTCTCTCTCCCCCCCTCTGCTACTCCCCCAACCCACGCACATGAGTGCTCTCTCTAAAATAAATAAAATCTTTAAAAAAAAAAAAAAAAAAAACACGGTCACACAACATCTTTAACTTCCTCTGCACAAATACTCAGCATCTTGAAACCATGATATAAACAAAGATGTTAGTTGAAAAGATTGGCGGTGGGGTGTCCAACAGAACTGAGAAACTGTGATTAAGAACTTTTTTACATGTGAAGGGAAATAGTGAAAACTACACAAACGCCTCCACAAAATAATGTTTTAAGGTTCATCAATGGTGTAGCATAGACTGGTATCTTGTTCTTTTTTACTGTAAAATGGTATCCCATTAGGGGTTATAAAACTATCTGATGCTCAGGAAAGAGTGGCATGCAATTTCTGAGTCCACAGCAGCAAATCATTAAGGGACACACTTCCCCCTAAGGCTAAGAGCAGTAAGCATCAGCCTGAGAAATCCGGGCACAAAACTATCAGACACCACACTTCAGTAGCCTCGAAGAGGAACATAACCCACTGGCAGATAAAAGATACCACCAAACAGAGAGGACGATGTCCATTTGTGAAATCTCAGGGATCATATTCTCCTAATGCCTGAACAAGAAGGGAAGGATGTAGATGGAGACTAGAACTATAAAGAATGTAAAGGTACAGACTGAACTGTAGAATAAATGGGTCTATTATTACTTTTAATACTTGACTGTGGCCCTAGGCTAAACAGATAAGGGAGGTGTTTATTTAGTCTACCTTCTTTATTAGTTCATTTGAAAACCTACCTTTGTTTACTCACCAACGGGGACATTCCAAGTAGGAAAGAGTCAATTTTGAAAATACGAGTTGTCAAAGATGCTAGTGAGGACCTAAGATATAATTATACTTAATAAAATAGTAAAAAGAATATGTCAATGCCTTCTTTTCCTTCTGCTTATATTTAAAGAGCACGAAACTGTGGTGACTAAGAGAACCTGTGAAGTTACTCTGCTCCATACATGCATAAAATAAAGTGTACTCGGGTACATGGGAATACATGATAAAATAAGGTTCAGGAAACAGAGGGAATAAACCAGAAACAAAAATAATTATTGAACTACACCAAAAAACAAGATTCAAGAAGAAGGAACTAAGATCAGTTTTATTACTTAAAGCACTGAATGTTTTTCTTTTGCTGTAAACAATTCAGAGCAGTCACCTTATATATAACACACTCTCATGTTACATAGAGTGTTGATATGAGTATATTTCATTAATATTAATCTTTACTAGGGGCAGGGGGTTTTTTTTAGTGAAAAATAATTTTTTCAACTAGCATAAGAAATTATAACTAAAATTAACTGAAACTAGAACATCACTAAATCTTAAAGAACCCTGAAAAGTTTAATATTAACTACATTTGAACACAATTCAGTATACAGACCACAATCTTATGGAACTCCCATCTGTAATAGAAGTCTGATGAATTCAGGAAACTTAAGATATAAAAATAACTTTTTTGTCAACATTAAGAGATAATATAATTCAACTAGAGAAGGTAAAATCTCAAAATCTTGAGTACTGTTTCTTTAATAAAGAAGCAATCATTCGGTTCAACAATTAAGTGGGGTCTTACTACTCTGTACCAGGCACTAGTCTGAGGGGAGACGTAACTGCAGATACAGTACAGATCTTATAGTGGTCAAGTTGTGAAGTCACTTACAAAGTAGAGTCAACAGTATTTGTTGATGGATGGATTGGATAGGAGTGTGAGAAAAGAGGAGTGAAGGATGACCCCAAGGTTTTCCATTTGAGAGACCAGAACGTGGGGGGGGGGGGGGGTGGCTGGCTGGCTCAGTCAGCTGGAAACCAAAATTAAAGGCACAATACCATTAATAACAGTTCAAAAAATGTAAATACTTAAGTATAAACCTAAGTACATATATATAGGATCTGTATGCTGAAAACTGCAAAACACTGATGAAATGGTGTTTTTCCTAACTAAGTGGAAAGACATCATCTTCATGGATTGAAAGATTGAGCAAGGTAATAATGTCAATTCTCCCCAAATCTATCTATAGCTATACTGTAATTCTTATAAAAATTCCAGCCATATTTCTTTCGTAGATATGCTGATTATAAAATTCATGTGGAGCTCAGGTCTTGAGCTCAGGGTCATGAATTCAAGCCCCTATTTTTTTTTTTAAATTAAAATTTGTGTGGAAAGACAAGGGAACTAGACAGCTAAACAATTCTGAAAAAAATAAAGTTGGAGGAGTTACACTTCATGAAATTTTTGAGCTACATTTTGTAGCTCTACTTTATTTTTACCACTTGATTTTTAGCTACTCAATATATATTTTTACCACCCAATATAAAGCTACAGTAATTAAGACGTGATATACGAGGAAGGAAAGACATATATATTGATGGAGGAAGAACAAAGTCCAGAAATATACCCACACAAGTACAGCCAACTAATTGTTTTTTCAAAAAGGTACAAAAGCAATTCAATGGAGAGTCTTTTCAGCAAATGATGTTGGAACAATTGGTCATACACACACACATACAAAAAAAACGTACCTCAACATAACCTCATACTTCATACAAAACTTAACACAAAATGGATCACAGAGATATAACAATACAGAAAACTATAAAACTTTTAGAAGAAAACAGTTTTAGAAGTCTTTGTAATAGGGTTAGGTGAAGAGTTCTTGGATACAACACCAAAAACACAGTCTATAAAAGAAAAAAATACCAGGGGGCCTGGGTGGCTCACTCAGTTAAACGTCTGACTCTTGATTTCAGCTCAGGTCATGATCTCAGGGTCATGGGATTGAGCCCCTCATCAGGCTCCCCACTCAATGGGGAGTCTGCTTCTCTCCTTCTCCCTCTCCCTCTGCCTCTCCCCCTGTTCATTCTCTCTCTCTTTCTCTCTCAAATAAATCATCTTAAAAAAAATATATATATATATCAATTAACTTTATTCTTCAAAATTAATTTTTGCTCTTAAAGACATTTAACAGAATGAAAAGACAAGATACAGATAGGGAAAAAAATACTTGCAAATCACATATTCAACAAAAGACTTTATGTATCCAGAATAAATGAAGATCTCTCTAAACTCCATGGAAAAAAATTAATATAAATAAATTGAAATCTCACCAGAAAATAAGCAAAAACTTGAACATTCACTTGACCAAAGAGGATACATGGGTATGCAGCAACCACTTGAAAAGATGTTCAATATCAACAGCCATTAGAGAAAAGCAAATTAAAGCCCTAAGGACACATCACTGCACACCTATTAAAACGGCCAAAATGAAAAATACATCATTAGTGCTGGTGAAGATGCACAAGTGGACCTCTTAGCCATTTCTGGTGAGAATGAAAAATGGTATCGCCACTCTAAAAATAGTTTAGCAGTTTCTTAGAAACTTAGGGGTATCTACCCTAGAAAAATGAAAACTAAAAAAAAAGAAAGAAAGAAAGAAAAAAGAAAACCCGTTCACCCATACAAATACAGCCAACTTTTTTTTTTTTTTTACAAAGATACAAAAGCAATCCAATGGAGAAGGAAGATCTTTTTGGTAAATGATGTTGGAACAATTAGTCATCCATACACACATACAAAAAAATGAACCTCATAGAGCTTTTCTTGTAATGGTCAAAAACTGGAAATAACTAAGATGTCCTTCAGACAAAAAGAAAAATAAACTACAATACATCCATCTATTACTCAACAGTAAAAAAATAAATTACTGATGGACTCAACTGTGAGTGAAAAAAAAAAAAAGGTCCATTTCAGAAGGTCAATTTCAAATATATACTATATGAATCCATTTATATAACATAAATGACAAAATTATAGTGATGGAGAATATAGATCATTGGTTGTCAAGTGTTACGGCCTGGGGGAGGGTGTGATTAGAAAGAGACAATCTGAGGGAGTTTCTCTGGGGTGATCAACAGTTCTGAACAGTTACACAAACCTCTACATGTGATAAATTTCATAGAATTTCACACACACACACACACACACCCCAAACACCCATGTTAACCCTGGAGGAACCTGGGTGAAGGGACCAGGGAAGTCTCTGAACTATTTTTGCAACTTGTAGGAGAGTCTAAAATTATTTCAAAATAAAACATGTTTTAAGTGTTTTTGGAATGCTGCTGATCAAGTAAGATGAAGACCACTAGATTTAACAACTTACAGGGTCGCCTGGGTGGCTCAGTTGGTTAAGCGACTGCCTTCAGCTCAGGTCATGATCCTGGAGTCCTAGGATCGAGTCCCACATCAGGCTCCCTGCTTAGCAGGGAGCCTGCTTCTCCCTCTGACCCTCCCCCTTCTCATGCTCTCTCTCATTCTCTCTCTCTCAAATAAATAAATTTTTAAAAATCTTTAGATTTAACAACTTAGAAACTGCTGGTGTCTGAGAGGAATTGTTTTCATGAAGGTGATGATTAGAAAGCAGAGTGCTTAAAACTCAGATTATGGAGGGGTTTAATTTATTAGAAATGGCATCAAGTAGGATATGATCAAGGAAGTTTAATGGCTGAGAGAGACAATGAAATGGATCTCTGAAGTAGAAAAATTAAGGGAACTGAGAATTTCTTTTTAAATTTGGGGAGGGGGGGAAAGATGGCAGAGGAGTAGGGGACCCTATTTCAACTGGTCCCCGGATTTGAGCTGGGTATCTACCAGATCACTCTGAGCACCCACGAAACCAGCCTGAGATGTAAGAAGATCTGGATCTCTACAAACAGAATATCGCAGGCGGTTGGTTTTGAGGTACGAAGCGGAGAGCCGTGATTCTGCGGGCAGATATCGGAGGATAAA